GATATTGAATGTTCTCATTTTAATAATTTTAAAATGACTGCTTTTTCAAACAACAAAATAATGTCTAATTACCTTCACAAATGATGGTGCTATATGCTGTGTCTCTGCCAATCGTTCAGAGGTGGACTGTAAACGTCGAGTTCTTGATTTCAAAGTTTTAAAACCCCGAGACTGTAGGAAAACTGAACGGAACAGTATCAGATTTACTTCTCGTTGCAAATGCTTATAAGAAAAATACCTAGGTGGGGTGCCTGGGTGGCTCAGTGGGTTAAAGCCTCTGCCTTTGGCTCAGGTCATGATCCCAGGGTCCTGGGATCGAGCCCTGCATCGGGCTTTCTGCACAGCAGGGAGCCTGCTTCCTCCTCTCTCTCTCTGCCTGCCTCTCTGCCTACTTGTGATCTCTGTCAAATAAATAAATAAATAATCTTTAAAAAAAAAAGAAAAATACCTAGGATTCAAAACTGACACCAAGCCCATCATCCTAAGTTTATTATCTCATTTTTTAACATAGTTCTTTGACACTTCACTACCCTGGTAATTAAAGTCATTAAAATGGATTGAATCTATAAAATAACTTTATATTCTCTTGGTAATTTTAAAATGTGAAAAGAAAAAAAACACCCACTGATGAATATCAAATAAAAGTCAGGGTCTAAATCCTCAAACCCCAATCCCACTTCCCAGAAGCGCCCACTGTTAATTTCATGACTGGGGCGCCTGGCTGGCTCAGTCGGTTAAGCATCCGACTCTTGATTTCAGCTCAAGTCTTCATCTCAAGGTTCTGAGTTCAAGATTGCATTGGGCTCCACACTGGGCATAGAGCCTAATTCAAAAAAATGAAAAATAAAAGAATAAAAGCTTTGAAAAATAATTTCATGACTAAATTTCTATGTATTTAAACACATGCTCTTTCTACAAAAATAATGCATAATTTTTTGCAATTATCTTCTTGCACTGAACAATCAATATATCGTGGACATTTTTTAGAACAGATCAGACTATGTTCAATTTAATGGCTGTTAATATTTTCCCAATTTATCAGATTTGAATATTCAACCACTTTCCTACTATGGATATTAGTTGTTTCCTGTTTTCTTATTGCTAAGAATGCTTCAGTTAAAATTCTTATACATATCACCTTTCAGCACATGTAGACTAAATTCTTAAAAGTGAAACGTGAGGTCTGAGTTATTTAACACTAAGAAACTGTCCTCTAAAAGGCTGTTACTGATTTACACATCACCAATGAAAAGGAGTATCCTTTTCTCCACCTCCTTTCCAATACAGATTAATAAAAATTTTTAATTAAAAACATTTGTTTAAATATTTTATTTGTCAAAGGGTACAAGCAGGGGGAGCGACAGGCAGAAGGGGAAGCTGGCTCCCCACTGAGCAAGGAGTGCAATGCGGAACTCAATCCCAGGACCCTGGGTTCACAACCTGAGCTTAACCAACTGAGCCACCCAGGCATCCCTATAAATTTTTTAATTTCTACAAATCTCATAGACAAAAAGCAGTGTCTTGTTTTAATTTGCATTTCAGATTAGAAACAGGGAAAATTTTTGAAAAACTTCTACTTTTATTCAATATCTTCTTTAGTTAATTCATCACTCATAACCTTTCCCATTTTCATGTATAAAAAGAATGCACGTTATGTATACTAACTTTAAGTCACATATACCTGAAATATTTAACGTCTTCGTCTTTTGATACAGCAACTTATAAGGTTAAAATAGTCCTATCTTTTAATCTTTAGTGTTTTCTGCACTGTACTGACTAGAGAGCCTCACCCCCAAACTGTGATTTTAAGAGAAGTCCCCCAGGTGGCTCAGTCAGTTAAGTTGTCCAACTCTTAGTTTTGGCTCAGGTCCTGGTCTTGGGGTTATGGGATCGAGCCCTGCATCAGGCTCCACACTGGGCTTGGGGTCTGCTTGGGATTCTCCCTCTCCTTTTCCCTCTGCCCCTCCTCTCTCTCTCTCTCCCTCTCCAAACAAAACAATCTTTAAAAAAAACAAAAAACAAAAAACGGAGTCTACTGACTTTTAACTTTGTTCAGACCTTTACCTATTTGGAACTTATTTAAGATTAAATTAAGATACAATTAAATTAAATTAATTTAATTAAGAGTCTCTTATGTCCAAGTTTATTTTTTATTTTATTTTTTTATTTTTAAATAATCTCTACACCCAACTTGGGGCTTGAACTCACTACCCCAGATCAAGAGATGGATGTTTTACTAAGCCAACCAGGTGCTCCATTTTACTGTCAAGTTTAAAATCAGCTTCTTGGTTTTCATAGCAAGTGTTTAGGGTTTTGAACAGGGTTGGAGTGAATTAATAAATTTGGGCATAAATTAAAACTATCATAGTACTGAGTCCTTTCAAAGAGGATTATGGTATTCTCTCATTTTAGTTTACCCAGCTCTTTTATTTCGTTCCGTGACGTTTCACAGGTGCATATATATATAAATAAATACACACACACACATACATATACACATGTATATATATTATATATTACATTCAATACAATATCTGTATTGAATATTAACAAATATTCAACATAATGTATATACATGTATGTGTGTGTACACATATGTATACATATATGTGTGTATACACATACATACATGTATATACATTATGTTGAATATTTCTTGTGAGGATAAAAGATTAAATGGGTTTGGAAGAAATTATAAATAAAACCTATTGCTAGAATATAAGAAGGATATTGATTTTTATGCATTTATCTTATATGATACTAGAGTAGCCTTTCAGTTGATTTTTTTAAAAGTTTTCTGGAAACATATTACCTGGTAAGCAAAGAACAATCATAATTTTGTCCCTTCCTTAAACTTCTAGAACTCCTTTTTAATTATATTGTTTAAAACTTCCAAATTACTCAACAAAAACAGGCTACTACTATCTTATTTCCTATATTAATAAGATCCTAATAGATTTCCTTAATAAATTTTAAAACTTCCTATTCTAGTTTTTGACAACTTTGTAGGAAGTGTGACAATTAAAATCTATTACATGCCTTTTTCATACATTGAAATAGTATTATTCTTTCCTAATCTATGAACATAAATTAACATACTGCCTAATATTAAATCACTCATATTCCTTATTCATATTTTCAAGCACATTTCTATACTTCCTTTTTCGGATTTTATTTACGATTTCTGTATTTACATTTATTATATCCTTTTCTACGATAACATTTTAATATCAGTAATCTCGTGGAATAAACAGCAAAGCCTATTCTACCTTTTTCTTGATTTTGGTCCTGGAAAACAGAACATAAACCATAAAAACCATCTGAGCCAAAGTGCCTCTGGGACACTATTATATTTCAAATTTTATAGTTATTGTCTTATCTCTCGAGTCAGTGTTGTTCATTTATAACTTGGATTACTGTTTCAACACATTTTTATTTATACACACTCTTAAAAGTTTTAAATCTTCCCTATATGTGGCTGTTATCACTTTTTTTACTTCTAACACTTCTAACATTTTCTCAGTGTTTTTCATTAGACTGTTCTATTTTCTTGTTTTCTTAAATTAAATCTGTTCTTCATTTAACTAAGTAAAACTTTCCTGTATTCATTTGTTTTATACATATTAATTTCTCTAATTTATTCAGAGTATTCTCAAAATGAATGTGTAATCGATTTATTTTCTTTCTTACTTCCTAATAAATTACACAATGCCCTCATCATCAGCTGGCCCTCAACTCAAAGATTTTGATGTTGATTTTCACTGTGGTTCATTACTAATTGTCTGTAATTTGTTTCTCTTTCCTTCAGCCACAAGACACTTACAAAAGTATCTTTAAATGTCCATAGAATTGAGAATTTTTTAAGTTATCCTTTCTGTTATTTGATTTCAATATTATATGATCAGAGAACCTGACCCTGGGTTATAACTTTCTAAAAATGAAGATTCTCCTTATTCCCTAACGAATGCTCAGTTTTTATAAGTCTTCCATGAACATTTAAAAATATATCATCCTTCTTTAAGAATTCTTCTGTCTTCTGCATTAACCATTTCTTCAGGGCATTACTAGGCTCTGTGCCCTACATGGCGCCTCTCTTTCATCCTACAGGTTTTCCTCAACATGTGAAGATCTTGCTGTTCCAGTTGTAATTGCAAAGAGAATACAGTAATCAATACTGACTGTAGATAGGTTTCCTCAAAACTAGCTAGGTGGTAAATACATTTATACTACAAAATATGGACTTATAATGAGTGAGTAGGGTACATTTAGTGTATGATTCAAACCCATTATTTCTCTCCTTGGCCTCAATGCTCACACACAATCTTCAGAGACAGACTTCCCTACACCCACACACCCTTTATTACCAACAAGTCTTTTGCCAGTTGTGGCATAAAAGTTACAAGCCCTATCTATTCTGGGACTGGCCCACTTTTGGCAATCTTTCAGTTCAACTCTTCACGAATCATCCACTATTACTGACTTGGAAATGGGTTTTTTCCCTAACTTCTACTGGAAAAAATAGCACACACCTCTTTCATGTCACTAAGTTCCATGAAGGTAGGTAACATATGTCTTTTTCATCTACAATTATCACTGTTACCTAACAGACTTCACTAGCATCTGGTATTAAATAAATGTAAATGCATGCATATTTGATTTTGTTATCAATGTGATGTCATCTATTCACCTTACAGAAATTCCTCAAATTTCTGGTCCACTGATGAAACCCCTCTGCTGTTGCCCTGACTTTTCCTACACTTTAAATTTTTTTTCTGTCATTGCAATTGATTGGGACAATTTTAAAAACGAAATTTTAAGAATATGGGGAAGTAAACAAACGTGCTTAGTTAATTATGTTGAATGTGTAGATAAATTCCCTAAAGTTTGATTTACTGTGGCACTTATCACTCACATTCAAAATTCAGCTACTATATATATATTTTCCCAACTAAAGATCAGACATACCCAAACTAATGGACTCCAAATAATCTATCAGTTCTACTGTGAGCTATGAGCTATAAATGATTGTTTATAAACATTAATATGATTAAGAAAGATAAATAAGAATCTGTTAAAGAAATCTTTTTTTTTTTTTTTTTCAAAATAAATGCAGTTGTTGTTTCGTACCTGGCCAGCACTGAATATCTGAACAAATACTTTTAAGAGTTCTTGAATGTTGTCTGTATAAGCAAGAGGAACATAAAGTACTAAACATATCTAAGTAACCTGGAGGAAAATTGAAAAAAGTAAATTTTCTATTTACCAAGCTAAAAAAAGTCACAAAATATAATAATTATATCAAATATTAGAAAGCAAAAGTATGAGCTTAGCCTTTTATTTGTTCATATGACTCTGCTTGTAGGAGTTTTTAAAAATACTGCTAATCTAATTACAGTTCTTCATCGCATTACTACGATCTACCAGTTATCCAACAGATTATCTTTTTTATCTGATATATGACTACAGCTGCCAAAGAAATTAAATGCAAACCACAAGGTAAAAGACACATGTGTTTACCTAAAGTATCTTTTAGTAAAGAGCACAAAGACATAAAAAACTGCTACTTCCTAGGGACCATTTCAAAAATGCTAATAAATAATGTGATTTAACACGGTAAACCAGAAGCAGTCATATTTCTCTCTCAAAGCTTCTGGTCACTGGGTTCGAAGACAGTTCCTCCCATAATTGGAAGCCATCATCTTTGGTGGTCCTTCGAATTCCCACGGTAGACTAATGGGTCCCATCCTACTTTACATTTGTGATCCTCGGGACGAAGTAAACTGGACCAACAGAAACTGCTTCTCCTCTATCCTAATAGCCCAGACAGAATGCAGGGATTTTCCTAGGAATCAACACACCCCGTCCTAATACCTCTGCCTGCCTAAGCCAAGAAAACAGCTGGCAAGGAACCTTAAAAGGAAATGTAAATATGCCGACCAGAAGACCAACAGTAATACTACTAAACTACACAGCAATGAGAGTAACAAAAATTTTACTCTACTGAACACTTACTATGAGCCAAATAGCACAGTATGGGGTAAATAAACTATTTAGATTATTTCATTTGATCCTGCAAAGCGAGATAAGGAGTTTTTCCTCACGCTTCACATGAGAAAACAGCAGTCTGGGGGACTAAAGTAAATGCCACAGCCACTCAGTGGCAGGAATGAGTTTGATCCTAGTCTACTCCTCACCCTTAACCACTCAGCCTGAGGACTTCTCTCAGGAAGGAGGTAGTGTAACATTAAAACAGAAGCAGATTTTTAGTCCAAGGCCCCAAGCTCAAAAACTTCCTTTTTCTCATTCTTGAATTCTTTACTTATACTACAACCCATATACGAAAGAAAAGCAATAGAATAATTAGTAAATGAATTAAGTTTATACAAAGTATGACTTCAATCAAAACTTTATCTCAAAATGAATTAAACTTGCATGTTCCTGGGCTATTATAGCTTATACTGATTACTGAAATCTGTTCTTCCATCAATTAAAAAAGAAAAAAAAGTATTTTGATAAGTTCTAACATTTATTGTTTAAGCATCATCCAAAAAGAAACTCATGAAGTGAAACCCCTTCTACAAACCACCAACTTATTTTTTTTTTTTTAGATTTTATTTATTTATTTGACAGAGAGAGATCACAAGTAGGCAGAGAGGCAGGCAGAGAGAGAGGAAGGGAAGCAGGCTCCCTGCTGAGCAGCGAGCCCGATGCGGGACTCGATCCCAGGACCCTGGGATCATGACCCGAGCCGAAGGCAGCGGCTTAACCCACTGAGCCACCCAGGCGCCCCAATTTTAACACCAGATTGTTACAAGACTGAAATAAGAAAATATACATTCTTTCAAAAAAAAGGACTATGATTATTACTTCAATGTATTCTCAGAAACTAGCATGGTTCTTGGAATCCAATAAAAGTTTGTCACCTAAAATTAAAACAATACTCCACTATTCCACAATCTATGTAATGTGCTATAGTAGATCTTGGGACAAATAAAGAAGCCTAGTGTGGAAAAAACAGTAATTTAGGAAGATGAAATTTCATTTGGTCTAAATATATTCTATAGTTTACTTAAACGTACTGTACCAATATTATTTTCTTAGTTTTGACAAATGCACTATGTTTAAGCAGGCAGTTAACATCAGAGGAAGCCAGGTGAAGGACATACAGGAACTCAGTACTATCTCTGCAACTTTCCTGTAAATCCAAAATTATTCCAATATGAAAGGTAATTAAGAAAAGGAGAAGAAAGGAAAGAGGGAAAGAAAGAGAAAAGGAAAAAGGAAAGGAATGGGACAGAACTCAGGAAAGAAGCTAACACACAGTAAGCATAAATAAATGCTATCTGTTAAATTTTTAGTAACTACAACGGCTTACTTAAATTGGAACAAAAAATACACCAACTTACCATATTTATTTTCAAAGAAGGACTGTGCAGAGATATGAGATGTATGCCAATGGGAAGAAACATGCTTGCCTTTACAAAATCCAGGAAGCAGACTGTCTACTAGTTGATCAATCTGTCCAAGTTTTAATACAGATAATCCAAGGTCTCTTAAATTAAGTACAGGCTGTAAAAGAGTGAATCAACCAAGTTAGCAATTAATACCAAGATATTTAACTTAAAGAGTTCTTTTTACTTGAAAAATTATGGATTCAAAAAATCTAACAAAGGTATTAAGTCTTTTTTTTCTAGTATTTAAAAACTAAATTGGAAAAAAAAAAACAAATTGGTGCAAATATTTATTTTTAAAAAGACATTATTTATTTATTTATTTGCCAGAGAAGACAGAGCAAAAGCAGGGGGAGCAGCAGGCAGAGGGAGAAGCAGACTCCCTGCTCAGCAGGGAGCCTGATATGGGACTCCATCCCAAGACCCTGGGATCGTGACCCAAGCTGAAGGCAGACACTTAACCAACTAAGTCACCCAGGCGTCCCTGGTGCAATATATTTATAGTTCTGGTTCTATGGAGGTTACTCATATGAGGTTTGACAAAGGTTGAAAATATATTCACAATAGTGCCTCTAAGTTATGGACTTTTAAAGCTTCCTTCAGTCTCTAATGCCCATAAACAAAAGCACATTTGATTTTTTTAAAAAAGGCGGGGGGAGGGGTCGGGATATGCTGTTACCAAAGGACATCTCACTCCTCTGGTCTCATTGCTGAGATCCTACTTTGAACTGAGAGGTTCTATAATTACCCATACCTACCTTCTAAGAAAGAGGAAAACTGAACAAAGTAAAAATGTATGGGGGCACCTGGGTGGTTCAGTGGGTTAAAGCCTCTGCCTTCCGCTCAAGTCATGATCCCAGGGGTCCTGGGATGGGCTCTCTGCTCAGCAGGGAGCCTGCTTCCCTTCCTCTCTCTCTGCCTGCCTCTCTGCCTACTTGTGACCTCTCTCTGTCAAATAAATAAAAATTTTTCAAAAAAATGTGTGAAAACCAAGGAAGAAAATACACTCACATTAAAATAGTTCTAAACTAACTACAAATAGGATAGAAGTGAGTTATTTTCTTGTCCACAGGAGCTGTCAGGCAGACATGAAAGACAAATAAAAATTCGCCCCAGACAGCCAGAAGTTCTAGCACGGGAAGCAAAAATAAACAGAACAAGTAAAGTATCAGCTTCCGATGACTGATGTGAAGTTAGATTCATAAAAATTTCACATACGCAAAAATAAATGAATGAAGTTAGATCCATGGATTATATAGTTCTGGACTGATGTCCAGGGGTTTCTCAGCTACTAGCTTTAGGACAAGTCATTCATATTCTCAGAATCAACTGCCTCATTAGTACAATGCCTATGAGACATGCCCTGCCAACTTCACAACAAGGTGGTATGGATCAATGGAAAAGATCACGTGTTGCTCATCTGACATCCAAACACCAAGGCAAGCATAGTTAAAGGTATGATGAAATAAAATACTTAAAAGTGCCCTTTATTAAAAACTACACAATATAAAGCA